CCCATAAGAGTTCATGAAATTTACCTCTTCAAGATGTTGAGATAAATTGCCTTCCGGACTTTGAATGCTCTCCACATTAGCTATTTGCTTGACTCCTCCCAATACGGCTTGAAGGGCCGTTTGGAATTTTTGCTCAATTTTTGACTCCATTTGTTCAAGCCTTTTGTTAATCTCGGTTGTGATAGAGATTTCATTCATCCCGACCACCTTGTAATCGCCTCCTTGAAGTTGAGGATTTGAGGCAATAGATTCAATGATTCGGAGTGCCTCAGTTTCATTTTTATTTCCAATGTAGCCCTCGGCTCGGTTTCCACAATGGCTTGACAAGGTGCATTCAAACCATTGTAGAACGTGTCAATTTGAAGGTCTAGGGGAATGCGGTGATGTGGGCATTCCCTTAGCAATGATTTGAAACGCCGCCATGCGTCTTGAAAGAGCTCACCATTTTGTTGTTTGAAATTGAAAATGCGTTGTCTAAGCTCTTGAGTCATGGTGGGCGTGTAGTACTTGGACATGAAGGCATTGTATATACCTTCCCATGTTGTGTAGCTTGCCGGAGCTTGCTCTAGGAACCATCCTCTTGCCGCCCCTTTGAGAGTATAGGGGAAGCATTTGAGCTTGAGTTGATCCTCCGCCAAGCCATTTCTAGGGATTCCTTGAATGAATCCGTAGAACTCCGTGATGAAGTTGAGTGGATTTTCCCCAAGCAAACCATGAAACTGAGGCATAGCGTTGAAGTAGCTTTGCCTTAGCTCATAGTCTCTTGCTTCCTCGCTCAAGGTGATGCAAGATGGCGTAGCGGCCACCACGGGTCTCTTCCTCTCATTCAAAGTTGGCAACATCTTTGTAGCTTTTTGCTCCCTTCGAATGTGTTTGCAAGTTTTTTCTATTTCAAGATCAAGTGGTTCAAGAATTTTAGAACCTTGACCTCTCAATTGCATGCAAACACAAGGGAATATCTACACAAGAAAAAACAAAAATCCTTCCAAGATCAAGTGAAGTTGTGAAAAATAAATTCAGGATTTTTGATTGGTTGATTCTTTGGACTTTATTAAACAAGACCGTTTCCCCGGCAACGGCGCCAAAAACTTTACCGGTTTGAACTTGCAAGTGTACAAGTGCCGATATAGTAATAAATTCCGGTAAAATAGCGGGTCGAATCCACAGGGAAACGTTGTTTAATTTAGTCCGCGAGTAGATGACTTTAAATAAGTGAATGAGTAAAGTGCATGGATTTTGAGTTGTGTGTTGTTGTGAAAACAACAACTTGGTTCTTCTTTTTAATTTTCAGAGATATAACTTGAATTAATTTGATTAAAGTGATTGATAACAACAACTAAGGCTTCGGGAATCACTTAAATGCTTTAATAGGGTTGAATGTTAGTTCTTTACCAATAATTATGAATACGATGTCGCTAATATATTCTCAACTCCGATTAAGGCAGCGAGAGCGTGGTTTTCGTTACGTGTAAGTCCCGTTACGGCTTACATTCATCTACTGAAAACCCCGTTGAATATCAAGACATCACACCCGTATCATATAATACCGGATATATTTCTATTCTCGGTAATATATATGTTTATCCTTTAATGTTCATAGTTTAGACCTCAACGTTAATTGCAAGCATAAACTAAGTTTAACATACTCCTATGTTGTACACCATAGTCATAAACAATCAAAATGTAAAGGATAAATCACAATTTATTGGTTTAGAACTTTTATCAAACACCTAGTGGGCATAGAAGTTCATCCCTAGCCTTAGCTAAGAACTTAGCCTCTAATGCTCATATTAATCACAATACAATATTGAAATGTAATGGAACATGAAATTACAAAGGAAATAATACCTAAACACCAATGATTTCGGAGGTTGAAGTTTCCTCCTCAAGAACTTGAAGAAAAATAGCAAGAACAAAATATAAAAGTTAGGAATTAATCTATGGAATGGAATGTGTTTGAATGATGAATTGAGGGCTTTATATAGGCTAAAGAATGGCATCTTTTAGTATATTCGAGCCCAACAATAAGGTATGGAAGCAATATTTGATCACACTTGAGGAAGATGAAGTTTTCCCATCAAAAATCCTCTTGCACGTTGGACTGTTTTGTGCAGAATCGGACCTACCCGGCGCCGGTTTCAGGCCTACCCGGCGCCGGTTCTTCGTTGTGTGCAGGGAAAACTGGAAATTTTGGCCTACCCGGCGCCGGGTATAAGGCCTACCCGGCGCCGGGTAAGCTACTGGTTTGTGCCACGCGGAAATTAACAAACCGGCGCGGGTTTGGTGCAAATTTCGGCGCCAGTTTTGTCCTGGGATTTTGGGGATGTTCCGCTACGAATTTGGACATGATTCCTTCACCAAAGTTGTAGATAATGAAGTCTTCTATCCAACAAAACTTGAATGACATGATTTTATTCAGCCAATCAAGAGATATGGATAAAACACTGAGAGGTATGCATCCTGAAATCCCACCAGCAACATCTGACTTTGTTGGTTGATTGGGTCTTGTTCCTTTCATATTTTGGTCATGACGTCTTCATAACATTTGTACCTTATTGAGTTAGCATTCACATGAAACTCGAATCGAGTGATTTAGAGTTCTATAGAATACGTTATACTCAAATTATGGGCAGAACGTCATTCTCTTGGTCCAAAAAGTCGTTCATCGCAATGTTTTATGATCTAGCTCTCATTCTGGAGGTATTTGCCCGATTTCTCTTCTTTTCTTCAACAAATACTTATAAATACTTATGTTAAACACAAGTAAATATAACGGCTATCAGTTCCCCCCACACTTGAGCATTGCTTGTCCTCGAGCAATTTCTTCACCTTGGATGCCTTGGTTAGTTTCAACGAAAATATATGCACAAAAATAATTTTATTTTTAAGGGAGGTATAAAGTTATGTAAACTCCTTTATCATTCTGCTCGGAGAGGTCATGTTGGCGGTTGTTTCTTGTCATCGTGCTTGCTGTGGGTAGATTTAGTAGCTGTTTGGGAGAGTTTTTTGGAAACTTTTAGTTCAGGTTTCCACAGACGGCGCCAGTGTTGAGGTTTATTCCTTCAACCCCCGGGTCCAACACGTAAGCCCAAGGATTTCGAATGGAGTGTGTGATTAAACTAGCCCAACAAGCAGATGATATGGATTAGGAAAGCAGTAAGGTAGCGGGTAAATGATTAGGTATTATTATCTCTTAATAACTCCCTAATACAATACTTTTCGCTAAGGCTCCGTCGGCCGTTCGTCTCACAAGGCAGTAGAAGTGCTGCGAGTAAGAATGCTATAGCTAGAGTGCTAATAATAGAAAGTTGCCAACCCTTTACAATGAAACAAATGCTCCTATTTATACCCGCCAATGGGCGGTTGGCCATGCTGACGTGGAGGCCTGTGGACCGCTTGTGTCCCAACCACCAAATCTTCAGCATTAAATGCACTTCCCGCCAGAATCTAGGTTTCCCGCCTAAATAATGGGGACGTTCGTCCGCCTGGGAAGTGAGCTGGATCACTCCAAGTGACCCTCAAGAGGTTCCGGCTGTTCGTCTCCTGGCCTTGATGGATTCTCACCATGTGGACTGGGTTTCCTCCGATGACTATGGGCTTGCTCAGGAGACGTTCGTCGTTACCCCTGATGGCCCGTGGTCCTGCTCCTTGCCCCTGCATAGACATTCGTCGGGAGGAGCCGCTGGGCCTGAACCCCCAACCCCAGACGCTCGTCCCTTCCCAAGGAGTATGGGCCTGCGGGCTGGCCTCGTGGTCTGACTGGACGCACGTCTGGTGAAGAAAAGGTTAGTGGGCCGGACCTCGGTTTGGGCCCTTAACCCAACAAGAACCAATGTAAAAAGTTCGGTTCGGTTTCACACCAAAACTTGGAACCACAGTTTGATTGGTTCGGTTTGTTTCGATTCGGTTTCGGTTTTTTTTTTACCAAAAAGTTATCATTTGATTTAAAAGTAAGGGAAAATGAAACTAATAATCCAACCTTTTAGCGGTCTCAATAATCCCACCTTTTGATTATTCATGAATAATCCAACCTTTGCACCTCATCTTCATTCATTGGTCCCTGGTCGGTTAATGACCTACTATTCCAAGTTATTTTCTTATCTTTGAAAAAATATTATCTTTGTGAAAGATGAGATTTATGGTATAATGATTTGCAAAGATAAGAAAATAACTTGGAATAGCAGGTCATCAACCGGTCAGGGACAAATGAATATAATGAAGATGAGGTGCAAAGGTTGGATTATTCATGAATAACCAAAAAGTTGGATTACTGTAAGAAGACCGCTAAAAGGTTAGATTATTAGTTTTCATTTTCCCTAAAATTAATATAATACCGTAAGGGATCAAACATATTACATAAAGAATGCAAGGACACTACAACAAATAAAATAAAAATGAAAATAAATAAATATGTCTTGAATTATATGAGTATGCGAGAAAAATAAAAGTATATATATTAATAATTTACATTGTTTATGTGATATAGTTTAGATGAATATTTATTGTTTCATCAATATGAATTCTTTAAGTTAAATAATTAGTAAAAACATATTATCTTCATTCAGTATAGCTACATTATTACAGGCAATGAATGTGTAAATGAATTTATAAACTAAACTAAACATAACATAACACAAACATTATTTCTCTAGCACAAGAAAATCAAAGACTATTAATGATATTAAGATTATTTAGGATTAATGCTTAACAATTGACAAATAAATTTTATAATTTAATTAGTTCTGTTTGTTCGGTTCAGTTCGGTTTTGGAGGGTAAAAATCAAAACCGAACTAAACAACTACGGTTCGGTTCGATTTTTTACATTCAATTTTAATTTGTTAGCAATTCGGTTTTATTTGACTACGATTCGATATAATTTGATTCGGTTTTCAGTTTTTGTTTTTTGGGACCCAATCCTAAATTGACCCTAATTTCACTCCCAAAGTGATCTAAACGAAATACTCCGGTATATGAATAGGATGAAATGAATTGCAGAAGTGTAGCTCAGAAAGGACTGAGGCGGTGAGAGGGACGGGAGTATGTTGAAAGGGCGGTTGCCTCCCTCTCTGCCTATGATTCCTCCATGCCCCTTCTCAAACATCCCTTTCGCCTTTCTTCATCGCAAGAAAGAAAGCGCAAGTAATAATAATAATCATAACAGTACGGAGTAATAAATAAATAAATAAATAAATAAGCTCGTTACCTCGTCCTGCTATATTCATCTTAAGCTGTTATTATTACGGAGTATATCGTTAAGAACTATGAAGAGGCTGTGATGATATAGTTTTCTGTTTTTCCCTTTCTTTCTGGGCTACTAATTTTGAGGCATTTGGAGGACCCGATCCGTATCTTGGCGGGGCAACCCGGGAATGGCCCGGTTGTTGCAGCCATGGCGGTGTTGGCTTCCCATTTCCTCTGGAAAATCAGATCTGAGCCTCTAAGGAGTATTCAAAAGTTCCATCCCATAAAAGATTTTTTCTTGCATGTATAAATCGGGACTTTTATTCTTATGTACATGATTTGTTATGTCCATATTTTATTTCGTCCTTGATAAATAGATCTGCTTATGATCCCATCTAGTTCCTGTAGGAATTGTATGTGCTACTTTTTTTCTTCAATTCTGGGTAACACGTTTTACAGTTTAAGGGAAGATTCTGAATATTTTACTAATCATAAAGATTGGCCGTCTTCAAAGGTAAGTCTGGGACTCTGGATTCTGAAATGGAGGTTGCCCTTTCTTTGATATTGCCAATGATATTCATCCAATTCTGAAGAAAAAGTGACCAACAACTCTTGTTACTTACTCGGTGTGTGTGTGTATATATGAAGAGGCTGTGATGATTCCATGTTTCTATGTTTTGGGGTATTTTGAGGAACCATCCCGTATCTTGGCAGGGCAATCTGGAATAGACCAGTTCTTGCAGCCATGGCGGCTCTGTCTTCTCATTGCCTGCTTGAGACACAGATTTGAGCCTCTACGGAAGAGTTACCCTTACCAAACTGGTTATGAAGAATTATTACCTTTTAATATGAGTCATCAACAATGTGTGAAAGCTCATCAGAAAAGAATGAGGCACCAGAGTTGAGTTCGGGGTTTCTATCTGGGTGGTTGCCACTCCCTCTACTGTAGCCAATGATTCCATCCACTCTCTAGTCTCTCTGCTATATGACCAACAATCCTCATTCTCTCAGAGAATATGTGCAATATGTATGCATGAATGTATGTATGTCATCATCATCATTATCCCAGTGTCGCAAAGGGTTCAATTAACTTTTTTAGTGCAGTACACGACTTATTTGATAGTTTTTCCTCACATAAATTATAGGTGGACACAACTCCCAAATTGATCAAAACGAAACCACTCCGGTATATTAATCGGATGAAATGAATTGCAGAAGTGTAGCCCAGAAAGGACTGAGGCGGGGAGAGGGACGGGAGTATGTTGAAAGGGCAGTTGCCTTCCTCTCATCTGCCTATGATTCCTCCATGCCCCATCTCAAACATCCCTTTCATCTTTCTTCCTCGCATGGAAGAAAGCGGTAGTAGTAGTAGTAGTAGTAGTAATAATAATAATAATAACAACAACAACAATAACAACAATAAGCAAACAAACAAGCAAGCAAGAAACTACTGTTGTTATTACGGAGTACTATGCATATTATATTGCTAAGAACTACTTTGAAGAGGCGGTGATGATACAGTTTTCTGTTTTTCCTTTTCTTCTGAGCTACTCATTTTGAGGCATTTGGAAGACCTGCTCCGTATCTTGGCGGGGCAACCCGGGAATGGCCCCTGTTGTTGCAGCCATGGCGGTATCGGCTTCCAATTTTTTGTTGGAAAACAGATCTGAGCCTCTTAAGGGGTTTTCTTAATATTCCATCCAAAATATATTTTTTCTTCCATGTAAAATTCATGAGTTTTATTCATAGGCATACATTTTGTTTTGCTTGTAGTTTATTTCGTTCTTAATAATCAGATCTGCTATTATCCCATCCAATTCCTGTTGGAGATGCATGACATTATGAGCATCTTTTTTTGTTCAATTCAGTCTAAAACGTTTTACAATTTTACAGTTTTAGGGATGAATCTGTTTATTTTACAAATTTGATGAAAACTTCTACTTTTCTACCATTATTGGTGTCATGCTACTACTGCTGTTGGCCAAATAAGACTTTTACCAGAAGGGCTACTTTTCCCTTAGGTGTCAATGTGCCATGAAATGAGAAATAGTGCCTGTACGGAAATTAATGTTTTCATTTTTATCTGTTAGAACAAGTATGCCATGGGAGTATGGGACAAGGGTACCAATTCCTTGTATTCATCCTTTGATTGGTGTAATGAGGCTGTACCTGAACTCTTAGAGGTAAATGTGTTTCTAAGGGTTGTTGCTCGCTCTCTATGGTGTTCTTTTAGCTAATGATTCCCCTCCCTCCATAAGCTGTTAATACTGCTGATCCTAAACCTCAGATTTTCACTCTGGACCGTGATATAGGAAGTGAAATGCTTTGATTGGATATGAAAGAAGAGTGAATAGTCTAATTGTACATCGTAGAGAGACTTCAAGTTGAACTTGAGTGCAAATGAAGAATATTTCTGAACCTTATTTTAACCGGCCTAATAATACTAGTATAAAAGAAGAATTGTTGGTTATTCTTTTGGAAAATGGATAAATCAAGGCCTTGCAGAGAGTGGCAACTACCCTAGAAGAAGCCCATTCTCATTCTTTCTCATGAGTTCTCTGTGTTTTAGAATCATTTAGATTTCCCATACCAAACATATATTTGGGGGAGGGATCTAGTTTGGATAGATATCGTGAGAAAATGGGGCCCCTTTTAAAACAATTCATATTTCGCTGGAGTTTTTTTCCAACTTTTCAAGCAGCCTCTAATTTTTCTGCTAATGTCGTAATTTGGCTTATATTTTCATAGTCAATGACATCTAGAGAATTCGACCATCAACAATGTTGGTAAGCTCATTGCAAAGATTGGCTGTGTTCAAAGTTTAGTCTGTGGATTCTAATATGGTGGTTGCCCTTCCTCTGCTATTGCCAATGATTTTCATCCATTGTTGGTCAAAAAGAGACCAACTCTTGTTACTCGGAGTGTATATATAGATATATGCATTTATTAAGAGGATGTGATGATTCCATGTTTCTATGTTTTGGGGCATTTTGAGGATGTGTTGATATGTGTGGAGAAGAGGCAGGGAAGAGAGAGAGAGGAAGACCAAACAGATGTGGGTTAGGGCAATCCGAAGTGATGTGCTTCTTCTTGGGTTGGATGAGGGTATGGCTTTGGAGAGAGCAAAGTGGAGGGCGGGTATTCCTGTGGAGGGGTGATCTCGTATTATTATTATTTCCCCTCATCTTTTTTCTTCATGTTTTTATTCTTTTATCCTTATATATATAAACATTATTTTTATCCTTTTTATTTTATCATTTTTAAGTATATTCATCCCGTTTTATATTATCTTTTTTATATTAGTTTTTTTTCTTTCTTTTCTTTCTTTTCCTTTTCGTGGTGTTATCATGTATCGATTCATGTGAGCCGACCCCAATATCTTTTGGGACTAAGGCTTGGATGGTGTTGTTGAGGCATTTTGAGGATCCGGCCCGTATCTTGGCAGGGTAATCTGGAATGCAGGCCCGTGCCTTATGTAAGGCTGAAGAGGCACAAGCCTCAGGGCCCCAAAATTCTGGGGAAAATAGGGGCCCATTTTTTTGTACATTGCCTATGTATTTTCTAACTCGTCTACCCAACTGCTCAAACCTCCGTTTGCTAATAACGCCGAACAAACCAACCCCGTTTGTCATTTTGTGAGCTTGCGAAGGAGAGAAGCAACTGTAGGATGATCGAGAGCTTTTCCGACTGGCTTCTGGCTTCTCCCTCTCTGTTATTGGCTTCACAGGAAATCAGGATTCAGGAATCCTAGCCTCCCAAGTAAGCCGTAAGCACCAACGTAACTCCACTAAATAGCTTGTTTTTTACTCCGTATTTTGTATTCCTTCCACTTTATTTGCTGGCTTCTTTACTCTCGAGTTACTTTTAGTCATTTAATTATTTAGTTATTTTTTTGTATTTTCAGAAATGTTAATGTGATGATAAGTATTTGTCATGTCTGAATGCCTAATGAATTAATTTGTCAATTTTTAGATGCTAGTTCATTTTTGTTTGTTTTTTTTATTTAGGTTTATCAATATTGCAATTATGGAATTCTCAATTCACAATTAATCAAATTATATGCTTTGTATTTTGTAGAAAAATTAGTAGTATATATTGTCAAGGATTCCACTCAATTATTAGTTTTTTAATACATTCAATGTCATTTTGTTATAATGCAAGATTTTTATTTAAGAATTGTTTTTTTGACATATTTAATCATTAAATTTTAATGAATCAATGTGATAAACAAATTCTCTATACTATGTATAGGGCCCATTTTATGAAGCTCGACTCAGGCCCGAGTTTAGGTAGGACCGGCACTGCTGGAATGGTCCAGTTCTTGCAGCCATGGCGGCTCTGTCTTCTCATTGCCTGCTTGAGACACAAATTTGAGCCTCAACCGAAAAGTCACATTTACCAAACTGGCTCTGAAGAATTACCTTTTAATAAGAGTCATCAACAATGTGTGAAAGCTCATAAGAAAAAAATGAGGCACCAGAGTTGAGTTTGGGGTTTCTATCTGGGTGGTTGCCACTCTCTCTGCTATATGACCAACAACCCTCATTCTCTCAGAGAATATGTGCAATATGTATGCATGAATGTATGTATGTGTGTGTATATATATTAAGGGTAAGTTTGGGAGTTGTTTTTGTATGGTTCTGGAGGGCTAATAATATATCTTGATATTTAATTGAGATTTTATTAAAGTTGAAGTAGTATCATAATCAACGATAAAATAATATTTCAGTGACCATTTGATGGTTCTTAGAAACCTTCTCTTAATCAAGATATAAACTATGTCCTCCAAAGCCTTAACTTGCAAACCTCTTTAGCCAAACAGGTCCGAAAAGGTAATAAGTGATGATACTTAACTAAATCCAAATAGCTAACTTATTCAGGGACAATGGATTTGGGCATTGTTGGGCAACTCATGGATTGTGATTCTCCCAAGCAACCGATGTTTGGAACCATGGCCTTTCGTCTTTACTATTCCCATCTGACTATCTTTGTCCTATCCTTGCTCTATTTGGCAATATTTCTGTGGTTCAACCTCATTTGTATTTTTCAAATTAAATATTCACCCCATAATTATACATTCCTTAATAGATTTGTTAGTTACGCATATCTTAAAGACAGTGGGATGCATATAGTATATAATAGCCATAAATAAAATGATAATCAGCAAATACTTAAACTAACTTTATTGAAACTGTAGCCTTTTTTTACAAGTATTCCTTCCGTTTTTCGTCCCTATTATCGTTTCCTAGCATTTAACGGGACGCAAACAGATCCTACATCCAAGGCCTTGATGATTCTCATTGTAAATTCCTGATTAATTGCATTGGCTTGTATATTGGCGTGGCAGATATTTCTTCTTGCAGCCATAGCAGGTTAATAATATTTTATTATTGATTGATGAGAAAGGATGAACCTGAGCCTCACTTATTTTTTTTTGTTCTTATTGTTTCACTCTTTATTGACGTAGTATTATTCATTCATTCATTTATTTATTTATGTATATATTTATTTATTTATTTATTTGTTTGTTTATTTGTTGATTTATTTCTTTATTTCTTTACTTGTTTATTTATTTATGTATTTATTTGTTCATTTGTTCATTGTTCACTCACTCACTCAGACTAAACACTTGAATTCTGCTATTATTAGGTAAAGCGACTTTAACCAAATGTTTATCTGATCATTATGTGATGTGCTGAAATTATCACCCTGGGAAATTTTTATGAGTCAATAACTTGTGGATTATTTTTTTATTATATGAACTGGTCTGATGCTTTGGATGTTAAGGGTTTATATGAACTCCTGAAGAGTTTGACCTGGGTAATGACTAATGAGTTATTCAAAGTGTGGTTGCTCCCGTTCTTTGATGTTCTGTTAGCCAATAATTGCCCCTCATAAACTGAGATAAGTGATTAACTGTGAGAAGCTGATGATATTACTGATCTTAAACCAATCTTCAGTCTGGACTGGAGAAACGGTGAATTGCCAAATAATGCATCATACAGTGAATTAGAGTTGGGATTGAGTCCACTTGTAGAGTGTCTACAGGCCCTCATTTTAACCGGCCAAATACTGTTCTAGAGGGAATGTTGGTTATTCTTTTAGAAAATGGAGAAATCAATGACCAGCACAGAGTGGCAACTACCATTGAAGAAAGCCCATTATCATTCTTTCTCCCGAGCGAGAACATGCACGTGGAGAATTTTGTTTATCAACAGTGTTGGAAAGCTCATTCCAGAAGATGATGTCTTCAAAGGAATCAAAGGTGAGTTTGGGCATCCTAAAATGGTGGTTGTCTCCTTGCTGTAGCCAATAGTTTTCATCTATTTCTAAAGAACAAGTACCCAACAACCATTGTTACTCTCTGAGTATAGATACACGCTGTGTATGTAGGGCCGGCCCAGGGTGTGTGGGCAGCCCAACCGCACAGGGCCCAAAAAACTGAAGGGTCCAAAAAATAGGAGGGCCCCAAAAAATTAGTACTACGTACTAGTATTATTAGTAGTTTACTGCTCTGCATTTGTTAGCCCCACATCATTTGTTTTACCATCCCATATCAAAATTAAAACAAACGAAGGGCGAAGGCGTGAACCGCGAAGCCAAGGGGAGAGGGCAGAGGTGAACTGTGAAGGCCGAAGGAGCGAAGGGCGGTGCGGTGCGGCTGTGAATCAGTTCTTCCACTACGGCACTACTCAAGAGTCTCCAGGTAAGTTTCACTTCTAACTTGATAATTTATTAATGTCTTCAATTTTTCATTATTAATTTTTATGTAACTTATGACTTTATGTGAATATGTCATTTTAATTATTTATTAGGGTCATTCGGGAAGAAGGATTTAGGGTTAAGGTCTATTAATGTATGATGAATTGATGAAGTAATGAAAATTAACAAATTAGGTTGTTATTTAGGATTTAATGTAATTAATTGATGAAATAATTAAACTATTTGTAATTAATAAATTGGTATAAATATGTTTATACTTTATACTTGTTAAGTTATTTTTTTTAATCATTGTTAAGATGTTAGTTATAGCCCTCAAAAAATTAACTTTTCATCTTTATTACAAGTTATACTTGTAATTTAACACCAATTATCAGTATTTGTTAATATTATCATCTTTATTTATGTTTTATTTCTATCTGTGTAAGCAAGGAAGGCCCAAATTTTATTATTGCACAGGACCTGTGTATATGTACATATATGTAAGGATAGGCTGTGTGATTTCCTGCAACTAAATCTTGGGGAACTTCGGGGATCCAATCTGTATATTGGCAGGGCAATCTGGAATGGGGCTGGTTATTGCAGTCATCAGCCATGGAAGGTCAATCTTTTGGTTGCCTGTTGGAATACTCAGGAGGCACCAACAATTTGGGGTCTGCTGTAAAAATAACGGGGTTTGGTTTTTGAAAAAAATGGCGACTGATGTGCCAAAAACCAGCAGTTTGAGCCAACCTTTGACACCATTAGAGTAGTAGTCAGTTGGTCACTGTTGGCGATGCCAGATCTGGAGCCAGTAAGGATGCTTTTACTACTTTACCCATCCAACTATCGTCACTGTTAGTGTTTATCTGTATATACTATAGTAAAATAGTAAAATCTATTGAAGGCGAGGTTTTATATTTACGCATTTGGTTAAGTATAATATACAGAGTATATTATTTGCTAAAATGTATTGGAAACTGACTTTTAATAATGTTTTTTTTGAAAGATTTAATAATAATGTTTTCTATATTTTTAATCAATGCTTGTGTTGCACACAATATAGTATTTGGGCGAGGAGTCGACCAAAAAGTATTGTTTTAAACTGGGATGTATAAAAGAAAAACATGAGATCTGTGAAACGAGCTTGTTAGGTTTTGAGTGCATGTTTCTATTGTTTCTGTTTCGTGTGTATATATATTTTTTCAGGTTTCTATTTGCAATTGGAAATAATTATGAATATACGTAAGGATGGCAATGGGGGCGGGTACCCGTGGCGAACCGTCCCGCGGGGAAGGATGGGGCGGGGTGGGGGTGGGGATGAGTGAGATATTTTTACACCGTTAAAATATGGGGTGGGGGACGGATATTGCTACACCTGCCCTGTCCCCGTTATAAATATATACTCAAACATACATACACGTACACAGAGGACTGCTCAGGTCCAACCGGAGGGACGGGAGCAGCCGTCCGAACTTCACTGTTTGGGGCGGTTCCCGGTGGAATTTTTCGATGAATTTTTTTGAGCATGTTCCTCATCAAGTCTAGTTTGTCCATACAAAATTTAAGCTCAAAATTCGATCGGGAAGACAGTCAAATAAATTCTTGAAATTTACTGCACTTTATATATGCGCAGAATGTGCAGTAAGCTTCAGGAATTTATTCGACTGCCTTCTCGGTCGAATTTTGAGCTGAAATTTGGTATGGACAAACTAGACTTGATGAGAAACATGCTCAAAAAATTTCATCGAAAAATTCCATCAGGAACCGTCCCAAACAGTAAAGTTCGGACGGAGCCTCCCGTCCCTCCGGATGGACCTGAGCATTTCTACACGTACTTAGACAATGTACACACATATTTAGTATATAACAAACACATAGTCATGGACCCGGGCCGGGCCCGGTCGGGCTTTTTTTTTTGGGAAGGAAGGCCCGGGACCGGCCCGGGTAGCCACCGGGTCCGGTCCGGGTCCGGGCCGGGCCGGGCCTCCGGTTCGGTCATTTTTATTTTTATTTTGCTTTCCTAACCGCCCCCCACCCCCCAAACCCCTCCTAACCATCAAGCCCAACCCGGCTAACCCCAAAAAATGAAAAAAAAATAAAAAAAAAAAATCAATTCGGCCCGGGCCCGACCCGGCCGGCCCGGTTCGCCAAATACAAGGCCCGAGCCCGGACCCGCCCCCCCCACCGGGCCTAGGCCTGACCCGGACATGGACCCGAGAACCGGGCCGGTTTCGGGCCCGCACAGTGGCGGGCCGGGCCGGTCCCGGGCCGGGCGGCCCGAACCGGGTCCATGACTACAAACACATATACATATAGACATACATAATTGTATACGGGTCTAATCATGGTTAATAAATTACTACATATTATACTAGAATAATAATAAGTTAGTAATGATGAAAAATGTTTATCATAAATGTTATATGAGTTTTAAGAGTGAGAAAGTGAGTAAATAAATACAAACACACATTTATTGGTATTATGTAATTAATTGTATTATAATTGTTGTGAATTTTGAAACAACGTACATGATGATAATATGTTTAATTATATTTTTACTTTAACTGTCTTTAATTCACAAAATTTTTTCAAATTGAAGAATTATTAAAATTGACGGCATTAACTTTTAACAAACACAATACTTCAATGTTGTGTGTGTGTATCATATATCACTGTGTGCGCGTAAATATATATTGGTTTAGGATCAAATGAAAACAATGTTTAACGTGAGAACGTGCAAACACCACATTTACCCCTACTAGAATCTCACCCGTGCGATGCACGGACCACATTTTAATAAAATTATATAAGTTTATTTGTTAACAATAAGAATAACATCAAGATATCGTAATTTTATAATGTATGCAAGTATAAATGAGTAAAAAGACAATAGAGTTACATTATATATGTTTATTATATACGGATTAATATATACTTAAGCGTAGTGAGAGTTAATGTTTACACAATATGTTCTGGATGCACATATGCGCGGGCATACTTCGAAATTTGAAATATTTTTTCATGTAAAGAACATTAGTACTTTAGTAGTATGATCAATTTGTTGATCATTTTCACTACAAACCAATATTTCTAAACCTCTAAAATGTTATTTTGGACTATTTTCAATCTCATATGAGATCAGACCAGATTTGGATAATTATAAAATACACAAAGACCACATATTTACCAGACCAGACCAATTTAGATCGGATCATACTTAAAAAGACCAGACCAACAAATTTCAGTTCAAAATAAAATATCCTAAATTAATGTTATGTATTTTTAAATATTAAGAGTCTATTTGGTAACACTAAAATTTGTTAGATTTTCTAATTCCAATGAAATTGATTGAATTCTGACTGAAATAGATGTATTGATCAATCTGTTGAATTATTAAAAATTTATTTAATTATCTCTTATTAATAGAATAAAGAATAAATCATACAAAAAATAACAAAAATGATCTTCATCCAGTAACACTCTAATCTTACTTATTTTTATTATTCATAATTTAACGCGCAAGATTAAAAAATTATGTGTTTGATGAAAATGTTGACTATTACTTTGTTTCTTCGTTTAATTCCTCAACTGACCAACTCATAAGGACTATTATCCTTGACCAGCCTGTTCTTCATAAAATACGAAGTATTTACTTCTAGGAGGCTACGAGAACCTTATCAAGGTTGATTGAAGAAAATCATTCGTTCAAAAGTATGATGTTATCTATATTTTCTTTTAGTATATGATAGAAAATTTATTTAAAACAGAGAATAATTTTCAGATTTCAATACTAAAAGAAGATAATAATTATTGATGCGTGCAAGAGATAGATGAATTCTTGAAGAGCTTTTTGAACAGATTCGTGCTGATAACGCGTTGTGAAATGAAGAAGATGCAGACCAAGTTTTAGAGATAGATATTATTAATAAGCTCTAAATTACTTCTTCATAATATAACTGAGATTTTATGAATTTCTAAGTATCTTTAAAAGTGATTGATCAAGCCCTATTCATACTAGTTGGGCTTGGTGATGAATCATCAACCAGTAATTCTATACATCTTGTTGACATCATTAAAACTTGCCATCTATCATCAATGATGAACAATTTTCATTTCCTACGTTTTACAACAAGATATCTATCATTCTTTTTTGGTTTATGGTCGACAAGATTATAAATGTGAGGAGTGATCTGCACCCACGAGTCTGAGCCCAGAAAGGAGTGAGGCAATGAGAGGGACGGGAGTTTACTGAAAGGGCAGTTGCCTCCCTCTCATCTGCGCATGATTCATCCATGCCCCTCTCAAACCGCCCTTTCTTCTTTCTTCCTCGCAAGAAAGAAACTACAGAAAAGAAAAGAAAACAACAAAACACAACCTTTTCCATCGATCATGAACTCGCTCTGCTTTCTTTATTCGATCTTGCTGTCTGCATCTGAAACTGCTGCTGGTACGTACGTAGTATATTATTATTATTATTATTATTATTATTATTATTATTATTATTATTATTAAGAACTTCTGTCTGCATCTGAAACTGCATCTGAAAAGGCTGTGATGATATGGACTTCTGTTTTTCTCTTCCTTTCTGGGCTACTAATTTTGAGGTATTTGGAAGACCCGATCCGTATCTTGGCGGGGCAACCCGGAAAAGGACCCGGTTGTTGCAGCCATGGCAGTCTCGGCTATCCATTTCCCTCGGGAGAAACAGATCTGAGCCTCTCAAAGGAGTTTTTTGTAAATTCCATAAAAATTTGATATTTTCTTGTATCCAATTATAAAAGTCTTACTGTTGGGTATATCCTTTTATTTTTATGCACAGACGGAGTATTAGATTTCTTCATTTATCAGTACATCTAAGTACTATCCTACCAAATTCCTTTTGAAATTTAAGTGGAACTATTTTTGTTCATTTTAGTGTAAGATGTTTTTAGGATGTTTTTGAAATTTTAGTGTAAGAAAGTTTGGCCTGACTTGTTTAAGTCTGTTCTGGTTTCGAACTGAAAACGGTCCAACCAAAAACATCCTTAGAGTGCATGTGAGGATGGGACATATATATTATACTAATCTTTATGAAATCTGACATTTACCACCATTATTGCCATACATCACTTATACCAATACCAAATTACCAATTACTTAAAAATTTAGCCGACAAAACATGTATACGTACTATTTGTTATTTTTAATACTCCCTCCGTCCCAATTTGTAAGATACATTTCGGTTTACGATGTTTGACTGACAATAAAGCAAATTGATCCCTGTCAACACCCAAATTAGTTCTAGAAAATAAAATTTACATATTCAAAAACTACATTAAATCCGCTACAAAACCTGCAAAAAATAATTCAAACTTCATAAACTTTTGATATATAAAATAAAAGTTTATGAGTGATTTATGTTGACCAAGTGAATAGTAAATGTATCTTACAATTTGGGACTGAGGGAGTAGTAGTTTTTAAAGTAAAAACAACCTACAAGAAGTTATAACTCCATTGTTGAAAGCTATATTTTTGTTGCTTGAAGTCATATAGTTCACAATTGATAACTGAATATTGAACTCACACTTTTTTCTATGTATATGTATGTTTTGAATAAAATGCTGAAGTGATCTATTGAGTGAAAGAGTCAATCTGGTGTGTGCCTTAATTTTGATAACTGTTTACTCCCTCTCCCCCTAACTTTGTCCTATTTTACCTTTTTCGTCCATCCTACTAAATTTGTCCCATTTCATTTTTGGTAATATTTGAGTAGTTACAATTCATTCTTACGCTATTCACATTTTATAAATTTAATACCAATAATACAAATTCACTTTTCTTAATATTTGCACCACTCCCTTTTGTTCCAATGTTAGATGGGCGGAAGTAGTACTCCGTATTATTTATGCAGAAAATGAGGTGATATTTTTTGTAAGTAAAGTGATTTTTTAGACTGCAAACTTCATTACCAGAAACAGAAATGTGCATATTTTTACATCTTTCCAATATATAATGGGAATGACCATTCTCACGAGAGATTAACTATATATATATATAGACACACACAAGTATACAACACCCTTGCCTTATTTCTTAAAGAGCTTGGGGTCGGTTGACATGAATTGACACATGATATCGGAGTTTAAAACAATATATAGAGAAAGATGGAGAGCAATGTAAGAACAATCCATATACACGTACACAAACAATGAGGATCATAGTATATTCATCCTTTTGTCCTTATTTTTCTGGGGTGAAGGACTGGAGGAAAGGGATTGCATAACTGGGTGATGATGATATTTAGCCCTTCCTTGTTCATTCTTGGCATTGATGTGATCTGACCCGTATCTTGGTGGGGCAACACTCATGGTTCATGAGTCTCATCACTCTCATGCGCACCAGATGTTGCAGCCATGGCAGAATCGTCCTGATAACTGATGGCTTTGCTGAACCTTTGTTTGGGTAATCAAAACTGCTTTGATTTTCTCCCTAAAAATTCTTATCATCGTATGAGTTGATAACTTGAAGATCATTTATTTATTTATTTATTTATTTATTTATTTATTTTATTTATTTATTTATTTATTTATTTATTTATTTATTTATTTATTTATTTATTTATTTATTTATTTATTTATTTATTTATTTATTTATTTATTTATTTATTTATTTATTTATTTATTTATTTATTTATTTATTTATTTATTTATTTATTTATTTATTTATTTATTTATTTAAGGTTCCACTACCCTTCCAAGTTCTATTCTTAGGATTGGTCTGATGTGTTGGATGATGAGGTGGTTGGTAAGTGAGTTTTAAAGAGTGGTTGCTAACTGTCTTTGGTGTTCTTTTGGCTAATAATAATCCTCACATGAATAATTACTCTCTCAGAGAATATATGTACACAGTATGAGTGTGTGTGTGTGTGAAGGCAGTGATGATTCATGCGACTAAATTATAAGGCATTTTGAGGATCCAGTCCGTATCTTGGCGCGGCAATCTGGGAAGCACCAGTTATGCAGCCATGGCGGTTCGATCTTCCCATTGCCTGCAGGAAACACAGATCTGAGCCTCAATAGAAGAGTTATTCATATGAAACTGACTTTAAAGTATTATCCTTAAAAAATCATGGGAAAACTATGTAATAGTCCCCCGTAGTCCCGTACTATAGGGAAAACTTCGGTTAGCCAAATTTTTGGGGCTGTGATGATTATTTTTTGCTCTACTAATTTTTGGGGCATTTTGTGGATACAATCCGTATCTTGGCAGGGCACTTCTGGAATGGCCCGGTTATTGCAACCATGGCGCATCAGTCTTCTCATTGACTTAGGGGTGTTTGGAATTGATTATACTTCTGCTTCTTTTTTAAAAGTAGAAGTAGAATGAGAATCAGTTCTCTGAAGCCGGTGTCTCCGGCTTCTAAAAAACTGTTTCTAAGGGGGTGTTTGGAACCAATTCTGCTTCTGCTTCTTTTTTAAAGTAGAAGCAGAATCAATATCAGGTTTCAAAAGCTGGTCTCCCTCAGCTTCTAAAAAAACTGATTCTAGGAGTAAATTAGAGCACCAGAATCACTTCTGCACTTTCACACAAACACTCCAACTTCTGCTTCTGCTCCCCGAAGGAGCAGAAGCAGTTTGAAGAATCAGATCCAAACACCCCCTAAGAGCAATTTCGAGCGCTCAGAAGTACTTCTGCACTTCACCCAAACACTTCAATATATGCTTATCTTCCTTTTTAAGAAGTAGATTCAAACACCCCCTCATTAGAAAAGGATGAGGCGCCAGAGGTGAGTTCTTTTTTTGGGTGGTTGCCCTCGCTCTGCTGTAACCAATGATTTACTCCAACTTCGAAAAGAAGTATGTGCAGTAAGTATGTATGTATTTATGTCAGAAGAGGCTGTGATGATTGTTTTATGCAACTAAATTTTGGGGTATTTGGTGGACCCAATCCGTATCTTGGCAGGGCAATTCTGGAATGGCCAGCTTATTGCAGCCATGGCGGATTGCTCTTCTCATTACCTCCCGCAGACACAAATCTGAGCCTCCGTAAAAGAGTTCAGGAAGAACAGCCCTTATGAAAATATCTTCAACAATGTTGTACATGTCAATAGAAAAGGATGAGGCACCAGAGGTGAGTTTGGATTTTTTCTGGGTGGTTGCCCTCCCTCTGTAGCCAATGATTTCCTCCACTTTTAAAAATAAGTAACCAACAACCCTCTGCATTCTCGTAGAGAATGTCTATGCAGTATGTATGTATATGCATGCATGTCATCATCACCATCATCATTAAGAAGTAGATTCAAACACCCCCTTATTAGAAATGGATGAGGCGCCAGAGGTGAGTTCTTTTTTTGGATGGTTGCCCTCCGTCTTTTGTAGCCAATGATTTACTCCAACTTTGGAAAGAAGTATATGCAGCAAGTATGTATGTATGCATATATGTCAGAAGAGGCTGTGATGATTGTTTTATGCAACTAAATTTTGAGGTATTTGGTGGATCCAATCCATATCTTGGCAGGGCAATTCTGGAATGGCCATCTTATTGCAGCCATGGCGGATTGCTCTTCTCATTACCTCCCGCAGACACAAATCTGAGCCTCCGTAAAAGAGTTCAGGAAGAACAGCCCTTATGGAAGTATCTTCAACAATGTTGTACATCTCAATAGAAAAGGATGAGGCACCAGAGGTGAGTTTGGATTTTTTCTGGGTGGTTGCCCTCCCTCTGTAGCCAATGATTTCCTCCACCTTTAAAAATAAGTAACCAACAACCCTCTGCATTCTCGTAGAGAATGTCTATGCAGTATGTATGTATATGCATGCATGTCATCATCATTACCCCAGTGCAGCACAGGCTTCCACCTAAAGTGGGGTAAGGGGTGTTGGATGTACGCAGCTTTACCCCTGTACGCAACCTTGGCTGTGTCACTTTGTCACAAATATCTTATTCTTAGTTTGCAGCTTTCCATTTTCCTTTCTAATTTTCTTTTGGTTGTCTTATTTGGATGCAAATGGACCTTGCATCTGAGACTTTGATGATTATTGTTAATGAAAATTTCAGATTTTCAGTCTGGCTTGTATTTTGGCGTGGCAGATTTTTTTTCTTGCAGCCATGGTAGATTTGTTGTACATAGTATTTTCGATTGATAGAGTAAATGTTATCCTGAACCTCATTATATTTGTTTTCGTCTTTATTGTATCAAAATTTATTCATTCATGGTTTTTCCTATAATATTACTGAAGTAAAACTTATTGTTACTAGTTTCATTGTGTAAATACCACAATCGTCACTACACACTAGTGTAATGTTGAAAATGACCATGGTCACTTCAAAAGTACAACTATTATCACTACATAATAAAAGTCATACTACTATTTTTGTCCATTATTTAATATTACTATAGTCAAATATTTGCCCTTCCAGTTGTCCATTAATTTTCACCATCAGAAATACTTTGAGTTGATAACTTGTGGAGTACTGTTTAAACTTCCATTACCTGGGATTGGTCTGATGAGATTTTATATGAATCGTAGAGAGGTAAATGAGTTTTTTGAGGGTGGTTGCTCTCTCTCTCTCTGCTGTTTATTAGCCAATGACTCTTCACCATAAACCATTCTGTGGGTGTGATACAGAATGGTTTACTGTTGTATCATACTACGCGCTTGGAGAATTAAAATTGAACTTGAATCCAAATGCAGAATGGTTTTGGCCCATATTTTAACTGGCTAAAGACTATTCAGGAGGATCCTTGATAATTCTTTTTGCAAGGGAGAAACCAGTGACTGGAAGAAAGTGGCACCTGCGTAACTACCATCGAAGAAAGCCCATTATTACCCTTTCTACCGAACTTTATACTTCTTTGAGAACATGTATTGTTTTTATAATAAAGTCTAAAAACTTTTAGATTTACCATAAAAACATTTACTTCCATAGTTAAAAAACTTGTAGAGAATTTGTTCATCTACAATGTTGGAATGCTAATCATAAAAGGTTCAGACCCCGTTTGGTGACCCATTTTTCGGCTTATCAGGCTTATCAGCCAGCTTTTTCACCAAGCACGTAACTTTTGATTTCGCGCACTAAATTTTGTAATAAGCAGAAAAAGTAAGGTTGTGTTACTTTTCTGGCTTTATTGGCTGAAGTTATCATAGAGATCATTTGAGCTATTTTTTCATATAATTTTTTATTTAATTTAGGGAAAATGGAAACTAATAATCCAACTTTTTAGCGGTCTTCTTACAATAGTCCCACCTTTTTCGTTATTCATGAATAATCCAACCTTTGCACCTCATCTTCATTCACAGGTCCCTGATCGGTTCATGACCTGCTATTCCAAGTTATTTTCTTATCTTTGCAAACCATTATACCATAAATCTTAGCTTTCACAAAGATAATATTTTGCAAAGATAACAAAATAACTTAGAATAGCAGGTCATCAACCGATCAGGGACCAATGAATGAAGATGAGGTTCAAAGGTTGAATTATTCTTGAATAACGAAAAGGTGGGACTATTGTAAGAAGACTGCTAAAAGGTTGGATTATTAGTGTTTCCATTTTCCCTTTAATTTATTAATAACAAATATTTTAAATATAATTTTTTCATGAATCAGCAGAATCAGCCACTTCAGCCAGAACTTGATAAAGTTCAGCAGAATCACCCAATTTTAGTGGTACCAAACGGGCTCTTAGTCTTTTTAAGGTAAGTTTGGTGTTTCTGATGTGTTGTTGCCCTCCCTCTTCTATACCAATGATTTTCCTCCACAGCTATTATTTGGTAATACGAAGTACTAGAATAGTAGAATTTGCTCAGTTGAAATGCCTTAATTTCATGAATTATGAAATAACTATATCTAGGGAATATTCATTGTTTTATTTCAGAAATATTATGATTGAAGTGATATTTATTTATAAAAGTATGGGCAAAGGTTACTATGTATAATTTCTTGGTTATTTACATGTAAGAATCGAATGAGTAAAGGTTACTATGTATAATTTCTTGCTTGTGATCTGCTAAAGGTGAAATTTAAGTCTTTTTATTGAGTTCATGGAACAAATTGAGCAATTACATGGACCTATTTGACCCTTTAACCTTTTAAAATTAAACAAATAAAGTGTTTTGTACGTCTGCAACCTCCAGGGTTGTCATCCTTTTTTGGTTTTTGGTCGAAGAGATTATAAATTGAACGAGTGATCTGAACTCGCGAGTCTGAGCCCAGAAAGGAGTGAGGCAGGGAGAGGGATGGGAGTTTATTGAAAGGGCAGTTGCCTCCCTCTCATCTGCGCATGATTCCTCCATGCCCCTTCTCCAACCGCCCTTTCTTCTTTCTTCCTCGCAAGAAAGAAACTACAGAAAAGAAAAAAACAACAACACATCCTTTTCCATCGATCATGAACTCGCTCAGTGTCGGCATCTGAAACTGCTGCTTGTACGTAGTACGCAGTATATTATTATTGTTAAGAACTGTGAAGAAGCTGTGATGATCATATGGACTTCCGTTTTTCTCCCTTTCTGGGCTACTAATTTTGAGGCATTTGGAGGACCCGATCTGTATCTTGGCGGGGCAACCCGGAAAAGGACCCGGTTGTTGCAGCCATGGCGGTCTCGACTATCCATTTCCCTCGGGAGAAACAGATCTGAACCTCTCATAGGAGTTTTCTGTAAATTCCATAACAAATTGATATTTTCTTGTATGCAATAATAAAAGTTTTACTCTTAGGTATATCCTTTGATTTTTATGTATATACGGAGTATTTGATTTCTTCGTTTATCAGTAGATCTAATACAGAGTATTAGATTTCTAATACAGAGTATTAGATTTCTTCTTTTATCAGTAAATCTAAGTACTATCCTACCAAATTCCTTTTGAAATTTAAGTGCAACTATTTTTGTTCATTTTAGCGTAAGATGTATTAGGTTGTTTTTACTTTGGACTGAAATTTAGCATTCTGGTTTGTTTAAGTTTTGTCTGAACTGGCCGGTAAATGTGTGGGCTCTGCGTATTTTATAACCATGGAAGTCGGATCTTGTCTGTTTAAGGTCTGATGAAGTCTGGTGTGGTTTGGAACTGAAAACAGTCCCAACAAAAACATCCTTAAGAGTGCAGTGAGGATTGGACATATATTATACTAATCTTGATGAAATCTGACATGTACCACCATTATTGCCATATATCACTTATACCAATACCAATTATTTAAAAACTTAGCCGACAAAACCTGTAGCTTCATATTTGTTATTTTTAATACGTAGTAGTAGTTTTTAAAGTAAAAACAACCAACAAGAAGTTATAACTCCATTGTTGAAAGCTACTCGTATATTTTTGTGTGTTAAATTTGATAATTGTTTACTCCCTCTATCCCTTATCTTTGTCCCATTTTACCTTTTTCGCCCATCCTACTAAATTTCTTCCATTCCATATTTGGTAATATTTGAGTAGTTACAATTCATTCTTACTCTATTCACATTTTATAAATTTAATACCAATAATACAAATTCACTTTTCTTAATATTTGCACCACTCCCTTTTGTTCCAATGTTAGATGGGCGGAAGTAGTATTATTTATGCAGAAAATGAGGTGATATTTTTGTAAGTAAAGTGATTTTTTAGACTGCAACTTCATTACCTGAAACAGAAATGTGCATATATTTACATCTTTCTAATTTGTAATGGGATTCCAATATGTAATGGGAATGACCATTCTCACGAGAGATTAACTATATATATACAAGTATACAACCCTCAAGCCTTATTTCCTAAAGTTTGGGGTTGGCTGACATGGATTGGAGAGCAATGTAAGATCAATCCAGATACACGTACACAAACAATGAGGATCACGGTATATTCATCCTTTTGTCCTTATTTTTCTGGGGTGAATGACTGGAGGATAGGGATTGCATAACTGGGTGATGATGATATTTAGCCCTTCCTCGTTCATTCTCGGCATTGATGTGATCCGACCCGTATCTTGGCGGGGGCAACAATCATGGTTCATGAGTGTCATCACTCTCATGAGCACCATATGTTTGCAGCCATGGCGGAATCGTAAATTTGCCTGCCTGATAACTGCTGGCTTTTCTGAACCCTTGTTTGGGTAATCGAAACTGCTTTGATTTTCTCCCTGAAAATTCCTATCAGCTTATGAGTTGATAACTTGAAGATCATTTATTTATTTATTTATTTAAGGTTCCACTACCCTTCTGAGTTCTATTCTTAGGATTGGTCTAATGTTTTGGATGATGAGGCCTCTATATGAACTCTTAGACAGTCAGTGAGTTTTAAAGGGTGGTTGCTAACTGTCTTTGGTGTTCTTTTGGCTAATAATAATCCTCACATGAATTATTACTCTCTCAGAGTATATGTACACAGTATGAGTGTGTGTGTGTGTGTATGAAAAGGCAGTGATGATTCATGCGACTAAATTATAAGGCATTTTGAGAATCCAGTCCGTATTTTGGCGCGGCAATCTGGGAAGCCTCAGTTATGCAGCCATGGCGGTTCGGTCTTCCCATTGCCTGCTGGAAACACAGATCTGAGCCGCAATAGAAGAGATACTCTTATGAAACTGGCTTTAAAGTATTATCCTTAAAAAATCATGGGAAAACTATCAAATAGTACCCCGTACTATAGTGAAAATTTCGGTTAGCCAAATTTTTGGGGCTGTGATTATTTTATGCTCACCTAATTTTTGGGGCATTTTGTGGATCCAATCCGTATCTTGGCAGGGCATTTCTGGAATGTCCTAGTTATTGCAGCCATGGCGTATCGGTCTTTTCTTGGCCTCCTGGAGACACAAATTTGAGCCTCCAGAAAGAAGTTGATGAAGAATAGCCCTTTTAAAAGAATCTTCAACAATGTTGTACATCTCATTAGAAAAGGATGAGGCGCCAGAGGTGAGTTTGGTTTTTTTGGGTGGTTGCCCTCCCTCTGCTGTAGCCAATGATTTCCTCCAAAACAAGTAACTAACAACCCTCTCATCTCCGAGAGAATAGATATGTGCAGTAATTTATCATCATCATCATTAACCCCCACTTATGGTGGGTGTAAGGGGGTCGGTTGTACGCAGCCTTACCCCTGTACTAAAGAACAGAGTGACTGTTTCTGGATGACCCATGGTGAAGATCACGTAAAAAATTGCATGGACTGATTGCCGCTTCCAAATAAAGAAGCGCAGACAGTATAATGAGTCATTTTGCTTTATTTTGTCACATTCTTAAGCAAACAAATAGTGAGTCTTTGGCTCCATTGCAAATGATGGAGTAATTATGTATGTATATATGTCCGAAGAGGCTGTGATGATTGTTTTATGCAACTAAATTTTGGGGTATTTTGTGGATCCAATCCGTATCTTGGCAGGGAAAAACTGGAATGACCACCTTATTGCAGCCATGGCAGATCGGTCTTCTGATTACCTCCTGATGACACAAATCTGAGCCTCCGCAAAAGAGTTCAGGAATAACAGCTCTTAAAAAAGAATCTTTAACGATGTATATTTGTTGTTTGCAGCCTTGGCTGTGTCAGTTTGTCACCAATATCTTAATCTTTGTTTGCAGGCTTCTCTGTTTTTCCCTATTTTTCTTTCCCTTGTCTTACCTGGATGCAAATGGACCCTGCATCTGAGGCTGTGATTATTATTGATGAAAAATTCAGATTTTCAGTCTGGCTTGTATTTTGTCGTGGCAGTTTTTTGCTTGCAGCCATGCCATGGAAGATTTGTTTTATTTTCGATTGATAGAGTAAAGGTTATCCTGAGCCTCATTTTACTTGTTTTCCTCTTTATTGTTTCAAGATTTATATATTCATGAATCTTTCCCTATAATATATTTTGAAGTTGAACTTATTGTTTTTTTTTGCAAGAAAAGTTGAACGTAGTGTTACTAGTGTAAACACCACAATCCTCACTACTCACTAGTGTAAAGAAGAAAATGACCATGTTCACTTCAAAAGTACAACTATAATCACTACATAGTAAAACTCATACTACGTATTTGTGTCCATTATATCGATATATTACTCATATATTTGCCCTTCCTCTACTGTTGTAGTGTGGTCCATTGATTTCCTCCACTATTTAAGAATATGTAGTCAACAACCCTCTTTATTCTGTCATGGTTAATTTATTGGGAAGGCCAAACTTACACCTTGATGTATATTTGAGATTTTATAGAAGTGAAAGAATAACATAACACATGATCATATATCATTTCAATTTATAGTTTATACATTTGTAGACACATTCTATTTATCCAGATATAGACTGAGGGTCCGAGGCAGAGCATTTGATATTTGTGACAGTGGCAGCTTCACAAAATGAGTCATTATCCGCTTTTATGAACCTCCATTTGGGTAATCGAACATTCAGTAATTTTCACTGTCGGAAATACTTTGAGTTGATAACTTGTGGAGTATTTGTTTAAACTTTCATTACTTGACAAGTGTCTACAGCTTTGGTAAATGAGTTAAATGAATCTTAGACAGGTAAATGAGTTTTTTTTTATGGTGGTTGCTCTCTGGTGTTTATTAGCTAATGACTCTTCCCCATAAAGCATGATAAGTGAGAAGTTCCACAAGACAACACCCTTGGAGAACTATGAGAAGCTAATGGTGTGCTCCAGAGTCATGAATCACAATCCTAAACTTGAAGACTCTTAAAGAGTTCTTCAAATCTGTGAGTGTGATACAGAATGGTTAAATGTTGTATCATACTTAGAGAATTAGAATAATAATATCTTGAAAACTTTTAGATTTTCCATAAAAACGCTTGCTTTCATAGTTAAAAACTTGTTGAGAATGTGTTCATATACAATGTTGGAAATTGGAATGCTCATTATAAAAGATTTAGTCTTTTTAATGTAAGTTTGGTGTTTCTGATGTGTTGTTGCCCTCCCTCTCCTTTAGCCAAAGGTTTTCCTCCATAGGACCATAGCTAATGCATAGAGGCTTGTTTGGTAATACTAGAATAGTAGTATTTGTTAAGTTATAGTTGAAATGCCTTACTTAATCTCATGAATTAATGAAATACCTAGGGGTGGGCACGGTCCGGTCCGGTCCAATATTTGGCCGAACCCGTACCCGTACCGTTACTATTGAAACGGTTCGGTACGGTTCGGTCTTAGACCCAAATCCGTTCGGTACGGTCCATTTTCAAACGGGACGGTACCATGCCATATCAATACCAAACAATGCCACTTTTTCCAGGTGTTTAAGAAAAAATTAAAGTTTAGCCATCCTCCAAAAAATCCAAACAATTTATCAATTTTCATATATCATACTACCTTCGTTTCAAATTGATTTGCAAAGTCAATCTTTTTTGGTCAAACAATTTCTTTTTATTCACTTAATTAGAATTTCACTTTTTAATTATATTCTAATTTAGCCTTTCACAAAAACTACTCCGTACTTCGTATATTTTAATTTGGATTTTGCAACTTTAGAGAGATTTTAATGTGGTTTCTAAATATGTAAATTTTAATTATTAAAAATTGTATTAATTATCAAGAACTTAACATTAACTTTGACAAAAAAATGTTGGCTTTGCAAATCAATTTGGGACGGATGAGGTAATTAATATATTTTAGATAAACTATAGTAGTACAAATTTAATAAACCATACTTCGGTCCGGTACCGGTTCTCATTTTATGAGAACCGGTCATGGCATTGTTTGGAACCGGTTCGGTCCGGTTCGGGACAAAAAATTTTGAGATCCGTTTCAAACCCCGTTTATCGGTCCGGTACCATACCGGTCCGGTTTGGTATCATGCCAGTTCGGTATTTTTGCCCACCCCTAGAAATACCTATATCTAGGGAATATTTATTGTTTTATTTCAAAAAATATTATTATTGAAGTGAAATTTATTTATAAAAGTATTTGTAAGAGTTATTTTTACATGTAAAAGTTGAACATGTCTAAAGTTATTATTATTATTATTATTATTATTATTATTATTATTATTATTATTATTATTATTATTATTATTATTATTATTATTATTATTATTATTATTATTATTATTATTATTATTATTATTATTATTATTATTATTATTATTATTATTATTATTATTATTATTATTATTATTATTATTATTATTATTATTATTATTATTATTATTATTATTATTATTATTATTATTATTATTATTATTATTATTATTATTATTATTATTATTATTATTATTATTATTATTATTATTATTATTATTATTATTATTATTATTATTATTATTATTATTATTATTATTATTATTATTATTATTATTATTATTATTATTATTATTATTATTATTATTATTATTATTATTATTATTATTATTATTATTATTATTATTATTATTATTATTATTATTATTATTATTATTATTATTATTATTATTATTATTATTATTATTATTATTATTATTATTATTATTATTATTATTATTATTATTATTATTATTATTATTATTATTATTATTATTATTATTATTATTATTATTATTATTATTATTATTATTATTATTATTATTATTATTATTATTATTATTATTATTATTATTATTATTATTATTATTATTATTATTATTATTATTATTATTATTATTATTATTATTATTATTATTATTATTATTATTATTATTATTATTATTATTATTATTATTATTATTATTATTATTATTATTATTATTATTATTATTATTATTATTATTATTATTATTATTATTATTATTATTATTATTATTATTATTATTATTATTATTATTATTATTATTATTATTATTATTATTATTATTATTATTATTATTATTATTATTATTATAAACACTACACTACAATAAAAGTTACTTTGTAAATACCTTTCATTCTAATTATAAGTATGTAATTATTTCATATATTCATTGATAAAAATATCTAAATAAAAACAAAAAATTTAGCATTTGATAAATACCCTGCTGTTATATAGCAAATAAACTTCATATTGCCCTGTTGAGAAGTCTATGTGAGCCTCAGGCAACGGGTTTTTCTAGGAGGGTAAAAAAGGCTAAACATAATCATTTTATTGTGATCTTAATCCCAAATTTACATTGCTTACAAAAACGGATTCTTGATTGGTCTATTTTTGACAATTTCAGCTGTGAAATTCCCATTTCAAAATACAAGTGGTCAAATCTTAGGGATGTTTTGGGGTCCTTGAGGGCGGTGACCCCTCTGATATGGAGCCAAATTTGTATGTTCAAATAGATAAACTGCCCTTCCAGTGTGCAAGTAGAGTTGGAGGAAGAAGATATGTTGTCTGATCTCTTAGTTGCAATGGTTTTCCAGTTAGCTCAAGGCAACTGATTATAGCAGCCTGGTGCTCCTTTTCTGATGAAAAAGGTAAAAATGTGAGCCTCCTCTTTTGAAGAACATACTATCGTGTATACGTTCGTTTCTACGTAGTACTATCTATTAAATAAATCATTTGTTTAGAATTTATGCAGTACTAGCTAATTAAATTTTATACTAATGATTCAGATTTTCAAGGAAAGCTATTCTAGAGAACGTGAAACTGTTTCCACTTACACACTTTTGGCTGGGGTTATTATCGGAAAGAGATAAACATGAGGGAGATGAATACACAGATTTTTCATATTCTTGTTTTGGATTTTGCTTCTTCCAGCTTCGAAGGAGTAAAAGAGATCTGATTTCTTTTGATATTGAACAAGATTTCAGTAATTATTATCCTCAAATTAATTGAATGTATATGGCACACATTTCTAATAGGGAGTAAAAATTGCAATTAGTGATGGTCTCAGAGTGGGGGTAGCGGCCCGTAACGATGAACCCGGTCCGGTTAAGGACTAGCTAGCCAATTCAAAACATCCAAATGGAAAAGCTTAACCGGAGCTGAGTAACACTGATCTGGTTTTAGTTTGATTCACTACTTGCTGATTTTGGATGATGTTCTCAATCGACCCATTTCGATTGTTTTCAGACATAAAAATCGAGTTTTACCACAACGTACATATGGCCATACCACTCATAATTACTTAAACTATCCCGGTTATGGAAGTTCACTTGTGTTCCATGCAAAAAATGGATTGTATGGATCCATTTAATGTTCATAAACGGGACCAAAACTTATATTTCGTTCTTAATTAACATATAATAGAAATAGTTAGAATAAGCATATCGGTTTGGTTTAACGGAATTGAACAAAATCGAATCGAAACCGGTTCACATGTAATTTTGTTTGAGTTTGGTAGTTTTTCTTTCAAACTGTATTAAATCGAAACAAATCGAAACCGATAAAACCGAAATGAATTAAATAAATTCATTAAAACCTTCATATATTATTAAAAAAAATTACAAATCCAAACCGAACGAACTAAACTGAATCAAACCAAATTGAAAAAGTATATGGTTTTTTATTTGATAACGATTCTTCCAACCAGTTTCAAACCGAATAAAAAATGATAAAACCAAACCGGAAGCCTATATGCCCACCCGTACAAATAGTTATAAGTGACTTCACTATCGTAAAAAGCTTCATTTTGATGCCATTAGATTCTAAATGCAGCCCTTCATGTACTAAACAAACACATCCACTTTCCCCCAAAAAAATGCTTTTTTATAATACATATTTTATCCTTAGATCATGTTAAACATAAATGGTAAACATAAACAGATTAGATCACACCAGATCAGGTCAAATCAGACTTATAGTTAAATATTATGAATAGAACTATATATCATTACTAACTTTTACACGTGCGTTGCGCGATTGGGTAAATGCCCAATGTGATTAATGTGGCAATGTTTTTACAGAGTATACATTTATCAAGAATAGAAATTTATAACAATCGAAGCAAAGAAGTTTATAACAATCGATTAGAGTAGAATGGGGTGTATTTTTCAACAAACAAGAGCAAACAAGATTCAACTTTTTGGAGGGATTGTAATAATGTTTACAAGAGACTATTTATATGGTATCTCTGATCAAAGTAGCAAATTGTCGACTATTACATGGAATCCAAATTCCGTGATTGCTGCAAATTGTCTAAATGGATGGTTTTGGATGCCAATTTTGGAGGGCTTAGTTTATGTTATGTTGACACAATGTTTAGAAAAAGGAAAAAAATTGATTCAAACGTGAAAGTGTATGATCACATATTTTGCATTTACTCTTTCATTTTTATCAATTTCAAAAATATAGCAAAGAAATAGCATGATTCCCCTAAATTTTATTTGAATATTAGTAGTTAGAACTTGTTGGATTTACTTGTTGTTGATTTTATTACTCGTATACATCCAAATAATGCCTTGCATATGTTAACATAGTATTGAGATTTACTATAATTAATGCCCTGCATATGTATCCAAATCAGACTCGGGTCAATAAGAGAGGATTGGTTCTATCATATTTTTTGCTCACTGTGTTTCTATTACAATTAAAGACTCTATCTTAACTCTTAAGTGTCAGAAGATACAATTTAAAGGAAGAGATACATGGTTAATGATCTTCATATTAAAGTTCCAGGAGGCTGATCGGGCATGGTCTCTGAATGACAGAGGTTCTAGGGTCAATTCTTACATGGTTTGATTAAACTTTACATGGGTTGTATTACATTTAGGTGGTGGCTACTGTTCTTGTAAGGATCGTATTCCGTCTCCGGCTCAGGTCTTTCTACACACTCTCCTCACATACACCACACTAAGGGAAGCTTTAGCACAACTCTCTTTCTTTTTATCTCACCACTAAGTCCCTCTCTCAATACTCACACAAAGGGAAAGAGAAGAAGGAGAGCACTGCTCTCTCTGGAATGCTTTCTCGCAGGCTGCTTCAACAAGGAAAGAAGCAAGGCTTCAAATAGGCTGCCAAGGGAGTTCACGGGTGAAGCTAGACAAAAGACAATCACATGTTACCAATACAAAGGAGAGTCACATGTATAGGCCAAGACAAATTGATGCAGCGGACAGAACACAAAGGGGGCCAGCCAGTAGGAAAGTCAACCCTCAAATAGGTATACTTTATTGATCAGATAAAATACCAAGGTAGAGATACCAAAGTGGGAGTAAAACAATAGGGTGCAAGCCTCAGCAAATAAAGTGGAAGAGAGGCCTTGGTAGGACCAATACCTCCAACATTCTCCACCTTATTGGTCCTAGGTGGTGTAGAGTAACAATACAAGGTTGTGACAAGACTCATCATCGCCGGGTCACCCGGAATATCAACAGACACAACGGGCAAACACTTTATTAGGCAACCCACAGTTATCCACAATCAAAGTTTAACACGCGTTTACAGGACAAGTGCTTCTCAGCAGAAAGACACTTGGTACCCATATCCGCGGGGTTAAACTCGGACGGGATCTTGCACAGCTTGACTCCACCTGCATCAACAATATCACGTATGAAATGGAACCTAACATCAATATGCTTAGTTCTATCATGAAATACAGGATTTTTGCAAAGTTGGATAGCCGATTGGCTATCCGAGAAAATGGTAACTCCCTTTTTGAGAAACCCAATTTCGGAGACAAGGCGTTTGAGCCAGATGGCTTCCTTAAATGCTTCTGTGGCTGCAACATACGCGGACTCAGTGGTAGAAAGGGCCACAATAGGCTATAGTTGAGACTTCCAACTAATGCAAGAGCCACACAAAGTAAAAACATAAGAAGTGGTCGACTTCCTGTTATCTCTATCATTTGCATAGTTAGAATCAACATAACCAATCAATTCAATACCACTAGCACATTTAGAGAAAATTAATCCATGCTTCACAGTAGAAATCAGATATCTAAGCAACCACTTAAGAGCATTCCAATGGGGCAAACCGGGGTTGGACATATATCTACTCAAGCAACTAACCGCATATGCAATATCAAGTCTAGTGCTAACCATAAGATACATCACCGACCCTATTGCGCTGGAATAAGGCACAGATTTCATTTTCTCAATTTCAGGAGCAGTCTTGGGAGACTGGTCCTTACTTAACACAAAGTGAGATGCCATAGGGACATTAACAGGAGAAGCAGATAACATATTAAATTTACTCAAAACTTTTTCTATGTAAGAAATCTGATTCAAAGTAAGAGTACGCTTACTCCTATCCCTAACAATGTTTATGCCTAGGATCCTCTTGGCATCACCTAGGTCTTTCATGGCAAAATTCGCACAAAGACATTTCTGCACATCTTTAATAGCATTCAGAGAAGGACTAATTATCAGCATGTCATCCACATAGAGTAACAAAAATACAGGCACAGAGGAAGTATTTTTGAAATACAGGCAATGATCACAAACAGATTTCTGGAACTTCAAAGATATCATGCATTTATCAAATTTGATGTTCCACTGCCTAGGGGATTGCTTCAGGCCATACAATGCCTTCCTAAGCAAACAGACATGCTCACTTCTCTTGGGATCCACAAAGCCCTCAGGCTGGGTCATATAAATTGTTTTGTCCAATTCACCATGCAAAAATGCAGTAGTTACATCCATCTGTTTCATTTCCCAGTCATGGTGAGCAACTAAAGCAAGCATCATACGAATAGTGGTGAATTTAACAACAGGAGCAAAGATTTTCTGCATAATCTACCCCCTCTTTTTGAGTAAACCCCTTCGCAACCAACCTAGCCTTAAACCTAACATCACTAGGTTCTTCCTTAACCTTAAACAACCACTTACACTCAACTACCGAACAGTTGGGGGGTCTAGGTACAAGGGTCCAAGTCTGGTTCACTCTCAAAGAGTCCATCTCACTTTTCATGGCACTAATCCATTTCTGAGACTCTTTGGAACCTAAGGCTTCACGGTAGGTCTTGGGTTCATTCAGCTCTAGGGATTCAAACACAGAAAATGCAAACATAGAAGTATCATGCACAATGAAAGCATAATCAGGCATACTATCAGCAGTTCTCCTGATAGCCCTTCTACTCCTATCTCTAGCAAGTTGATAATCATGCAAATTATCACTATTAGGCTCCACATGCAACTCATGCAAATTATTGTTGTCATGAAAATCAGATTCAGCACCCATATCATGCAAATCATGCTCAGTATCATGCAAATGCTCCACCTCACTCGAGGTGGTGGGACTATCATGCTCAGAGGAATCAGAATCATGCATAACAATATCATCAGTAATAACAGGATCAACAGACAAAGGACTAGCAGCAATAGGGACAGACTCCACCTCACTAGGAGTAATATCAGACCTAGACTCAGGATGAGAAGCAGACTCGGTCAAGCAAGGAAAATCAGTTTCATTAAACACCACATTTCTGCTAAGGACCACTTTAAAGCCTACCTGGTTCCTATCCCATAATCTGTAACCCTTTACCCCCTCTGGATAACCTAGGAAGACACATTTCTTAGACCTAGGATCCAACTTGTCACCCTGTTGATGTGCATACGCTGCACAACCAAACACCCGAAGGTTAGACAGATCAAGAGGCTTACCGGTAAAGACGGTTTCAGGACACTTACCACCAAGAGGGACAGACGGGGACCTATTAACCAAATAGGCAGCAGTAGTGACTGCTTCACCCCAGAATTTCTTAGACAAACCAGAGGTAGCTAACATGCTTCTAACCTTATCCAATAGAGACCTATTCATTCTCTCTGCTATCCCATTCTGTTGGGAGTATAAGGCACAGTTTTGTGCCTTTTTATCCCACAATCCACACACAGCTTATCCATCTCCTTATTACAGAACTCTAACCCGTTATCGGTCCTAAGGGTTTTAACCTTCCTGCCAGTTTGGTTTTCAACTAGGGTTTTCCA